AGACTTGAGGGAAAACAAAACTACCTGTTTCCTTTGAGACCAGTAAATATTTAAGTCTCGGCATATAGTCAATCGAATCCGGAAATCAAACTTGATGGCACTCAATCCGCAGATTGTGTTCATTTGAGTTTGATTGAGTTCGGTAATCAAACAAAATCAAACACCAATCTTTGTGTGAATTCGATTTCTGAATCAGTCGAACTCAATTGAACAAATAGAACCCAGCGCACTCAATCTATTAGATTGTGTTCAATTGAGTTCAGCAATCAAACTCCATTAAACACAATCGTTCCATTCTGTTTGGTGAATAAATTCGCTTGAGGGAAGGTCAGGTTAAGCTCATGTGGTCTGAAAAACACGAAAAAAACATTTGCTATACTGAAGCAACCTTGAATAACTTGATATTGATTTTCAATATCAGTTTTACAAAAATGAAGAGTTCAGGAATCAATGATGTAATTTGTGATAATTGGTATTAACATAAATTTACGTGTCCAGCTTTGGCGCATGTAGGATGTTACTTGATGTATCTCTTATGCACTTTGTTGAAGGCTTATCGTCACAATTAAAACATATCTTGGGCATGGCTGACCAACATGCCCATGCCTCAACCTTTGAGTGTGTTCAGTTGTGTAGTGAAGGCAAAATTCCAATTATTTTTGTGCGAGTTCAATTTCATTTGATTGTCAGACTCATTTGATTGAGACTGATTTGAATTCAGTTTGACTGGGTACAATTGACTATGCCGGGTCAAGTGTTTTGTTATATAGTTGGAGTTAAGCCAAAACGCAAGAAGAATTACCCCCATGTCAAAGTAACCTCTGTTTAGTGAGAAAGTGGGAGAAAATTACATAATATTGTAACCTGCTTGGTGACATTTAGATTTAGCATTACCACAGGACCATATATCAACCAATGAGAGTGTTCAGATTCAACGTAACTCCAGCTATATCACAATGTAGACAGTCAATGGAGTCTGGATGAAACTTGGGGATGCAGAGTGTAGTGGATCATTGGAAGGAGCTCATGCTTCCCTTGTTAATATTCAATGAACTCAAGGACCACGGGGCCAAGTTGGGCTAAGTGTTTTTGTTTCC